ACATATATTTAACGGTGTCAAATTTCTCATAATCAACAAAGTAATTAGGCCTATTAGAAAATTTTGAAAATTGATATGCATGATCTATATAAATAGAATTTTCAATGTAACAGTTGGTTTTTAAAAAATATTAATTAGAAAATAAAATTTTAAACGTATCCACCAAAAAAAAATTTAGGAGCACGACCTGCAAAATACTTTGCCCTGTTTAATTAATGAAAAAAATCAGTGAATCAATATATAAGTAGAAAATTACTAATGGTAAAGGCATTAAAGATACATAACAAAGAAATAGAAAGGAAACCTGCAATAGGTATGTCAAGAAGTTCTGTTCAAGTGAATCAACCTCAGCAAGAGATAGATTCTGCTGCTGCAGTTTCTGAGCCCCATGTACAGGGTCAAACAGTGAATAAAGTTGCTGCAAACAAACACACAGCGAAATTTAAAAAAAAAAAAAAAGAAGAAGATCAAATCAAATGTAAACGAAATGAAACAAAGAAGGTAAAAAAAAAATTAATTAAAGGTACCATTAAATCCTCAAACTGTAAGAGGTACCAAGCTCGAACTGTGTACTCAACTCTCTTGCAGAACTTCAGAAACTCAGCCCGATCAGAACTGTGTTCTGAGAAAGAAAGAGATACAAAAAAGTTGACTTGAGTTGCACAATAATAATAATAATAATAAGCTAATTTGAATCAAACAAAAAGGATATTGGCATTTGGGAAAGCAACGCAACGCATGAACAAACACAATCAAGAAATTAAGAAAAAGAGAGAAAGAGAAAGAGAGAGGATACCAATGAGGTTCGCCAAGGTCATGATGAGTTTGGGCTTTAGAATTGGAATCACAGATTCACGTTCCAATCGAATCACATCTTTTTTCTTCTTGTTCTCCATTCTGCGCAGCGCGGAGGTTGAGGTGGATGAGAAAGAGAAATCCAAAGCCTTTTTTGTCTTTTTTGTTTTGTTTTTTGTTTCCAGGCAACGCCCAACGGATGTGATGAATAATAATAGAGCCGACAACTCTATCTCTCTATCTTAATTCTATTATTATTATTAAAGTATTATTCTTTTCTTTTCTGCATAATAACGTTAAGAACGAAACACTGCAAACCAACAAACAATGCCATTGCAATTTGCAAGCAATCCATCTTCTCTTCTCTTTAATTGCAACATATTATTTATTCCTCATTCCTCTCTTTTCCGTTCAGCTCACTGTAACTTCCCACCCTTCCTCTTTCTCTTCGGTTCGGTTCGGTTCGGTTCGGTTCGGACACATATATACCCAAAGAGTACATATGGTAGAATTAGTGTTTACATAAATGAACATTTATTAATTTCTAAATGTAACGGAAATGTTTGGAGGAAAAGTGTTTGTCATCTACATCTTCAAAAGAAATAAAGAGAAAAGACACCTAAAATAACATTGTTCAATACTCAAAGGGGGCATATGAATGATTTTTTTTTTTTTTTTATGGTTGACGAACAGGGCCATATGAATGGATGTGTATATGCTATGGTAATGGTATTGACTATAGAGATGGTGTTATGATGTCGGCAGGTAGGGGCCAACTGCCAAGCCCAAACTACCTTACATGAATGAGAGAGAAACATTGGAAAACAGACAACTTGCTTATCATCCTATCCTATCCTTGTTACCTGTAAGTCTGTAATCCAAACCTATGGATCATGGAATAGAAAATGAACAAAAACAACATTATTATTCATTAGCCAACCATGGCCTCCAAAATTACTAAAATAAAAACAAGGAATCCCCAATATAACAAAATAATTGCTAAATAAAAACTGTAATCTTGGTCTACCAAAAAAGAGGACACATCTCTGCCTGGATCTTCATTGTTCATTACTTCCCTGCCCATCTAAATGTCTACATATATACAGGCCTGTGCTGTCTTCACTTGCCTCTTCTTCTATAGGTATATGTACAAACCCCCTACCTCCCTGCTTCTGCATTGCATTATCTTCACCTCACCTGTTCTACCTTTTCCTCCTACATTAACAACTAACCAATTCCACTCCCTCCCCTTTCTCATCCAAAAAGATCAAAAAATGTCTTTTTATTGATTCCATGACCTCAAATACGGTTTCCCCATTGGATCATGCAAACCAGGATTTTGATGTGTCAAGTTCATCCATCCCATGTCATCCGCCATTAGTGGGGTTGCTGCATCACGCCCACCTAAATAATCAAGCGGATGGTTCACTTGCGGTAAATTATTGCTCATTGCAGAATTACCCCCGCCTACCATTCCATAGTTCCTTGGCATTGCTGAAATGAACTGCTCTGGAGTGCGCATTGGCCCATAAGGGTTACCTGAACGTAGCTGGCTACATTGAGATAGAACACTGAATAGGCTCTGATCTGCATTGCTATTGCTTGCAGCACTCCCAATACCCTGATTCGAGACACTAACACCATCTGAACCACTCCACCCATTGCGTACTTGATGCTCGCTAGGAAACCAATTCTGACTAAACAAATCTCCACTATTCAACTGCTGTTGGTAAGGAGCTGGCATGCGGACAGGATTGACAGTCCAATCTGCCATATTGCTAGAGGGCAAGAGCTCCTGCCTTGGGATAACAAATCTACCACCATCAGTGTAGATATTTGGTGATATATTTTGTTGCATATAAATTTCACTCTGCCTCTTCTGCCCCTGCTCCAGTGCCAGTGAAGGCTGCAGCTGCTCTTGAAAGTGCCCTGGAAAACGACTGTCTCCCGTAAACAAATTTTTTGGGGATTGAAAATCTAGCCCTGTCGGTTTCTGCTCATGGTTATACGATAACATCCTTTCGTCCTTGAATAATGATTGAAGTAGCTCATTTCGGTGTTGATTTGGAAAAGAACTGAAGGAACCACCGTCTGACTGTCCATGCAACAAAACCTTCCTGGCGTCCTCTTCAGGCAAGCCTGAATCCAAATTAATCAGTTGGCTTCTTTGGTTTTCATTGGTTTGTTGATGAGTGAGCGACAACCCACTGACAGCTGTGTATTCACAGCCTGCAGTTGAATCATGGTAAGAATGCAGCGCGCCATGACCCGGCCAGACATCTTCTGTAGGAGAGAGATGAACTCCCTGATTGACAGGAACATCTGCGGCTTTCAAATTTCCTGAGTACTCAGATGCATCTGAAGAAGAAGCATCCAACTTTGAGATATGGTGACTTTTTACAGAGTCCAAATCCATGTGACTGCATAGATAACTGCTATTAACAGATAGCTGCTGACAGGACTGATCATGGGATGAGCCAGGAAGAGGAGGGGACTCTCCACTATCTTGCATATAGGATTCACTTTCTGTCTGTTCATTATCATTTTGATCCTGAAACTCACAGTTTAGATTCTCTCTCTCTTCATCCAGAACCTTGGAATTCACACCATTTTCTTCCTGATGCTGAGAAATTTCGGCACTCTTCATCCCATCCTGAATACCAATTACCAAACAACAAATCAACAATTAAAACAAGTAGGGAACAAGACACCATAGTCAGAAAAACAAAAGAAACACAATTTTAAGGAGTTTGCAGAACATCCAACTGAAACATTTACACAACAAAACAAACAGTTATGTAGAGAAGAGTAAGGTAAACCTCAAGCACAGCATTTAGCTTGTCATGCAGATCTTGGTTCAATGACTTGATTATTTCTCGTTTCACTAAGCATACATCTCTCCAGTTTGCATATGCCATGGGAAGATCCTCTATTGCCAATTTCAACCTATTTGAACATTAAAACATTTATATAGACAAAAAAAAGGAATGATCTCCAAGTTCAAGAAAAAAATTTTACTCTAGAATGCACTAACCAATGCTCATGCAATTTGCTCTTCTCTTCTTCCATGAATACTTCATATGGTTGTACATGGAAACTATTAAGGTTGCCGAGTACACGATTAAGAGATCTAGACTGAATGCTTTTACCAGACTGCTTCATACTCTTGACAAGTTCATGTTGCTTCTTGCTTATCTGAAAAATGTTGGGACACAATTAATTAGCCAAAATCACCTTTAAAAGAGATATTTGAAGCTTTCACACAAGAAATTCATGATCATAAAGTAAAATGTGCTTGTAGACTTGCTGAAAATTTTCAAAAAAATTCGCAGAAACCTTGATCAGCTCTTGCTATATATCAGTTTAATTCATGCAAGGAATGCAACCTAAATTGATAGAGCATGCTCTTTTGGAGTAAAAAATAAAACAATGACAAGGCAGTAACATGTAAGATCATTCTTAAGAAGGTACTAAAGTCAGTTTGTTCAGAAATCCAGAAGCAATCAGGTAGGCATCTTGCCAGATTTGTTTGGGTTGGAAAACTACACAAAGAAGCTTAATTTGCATACCTGTGATAACTGCTTCCTTAACCAAAAGCAATTAAGCATGAAGGATAATTCCAATCCACAAAGATGATTAATTAGGATACAGAACACTCCTAGGAAATTTTTAGGATTTAACAACTTATACAGATCAAAGAAGCACCTAACCTTAATATATGACATATATTTGACACCATCACTCTGCTGAATATTGGGCTTCTGTAGCTTCTCTCCCCTTCTGGGCTTTGCTTCCTTATTTAGCACATCATCAGAAGTAATCAAGGAAGCCCTATGTTTGTCCTTGATGATGCCTTCCTTGTATTTTCTGGCACCAATAGAACTTATTAAGACTCATTCATCATGGCATAAATCTATAGATTTAATAAAAAAAAGAAAGTAAATTAGCAACATTGAAAGTTATTCCAACTAACTCACAATGAGGTTTTCTGGGTAACAAGATCTTTCCTTAGGCTGAGCAAAAAATATATTTTTCTAATCTTTGACATACTCAATTAGAGAAAACCAACAAGCTTTAAGATTCCAAATCAATATATAAAGAAAACTAAAGAATAAAAGAAATGGGATACAGTCCATTCTCAGGCTATCTTCCTACAACAATCCAAAAGAACCAAAGACACATGAAAGATAAATAGCCTCTTGTTCAACACAAATGCATGCATAAAACATATCTGTGTTGGAAGTGATAGAAACAAAGCAAATAAAGAGATGGATTTAATCAAAGAATACCAAAAAGAAAGGGCAACACGAAGAAAAAAAAAAAAAAACCCTATACTTAAATTGCACAGTAGCACTCCCACAAACCTCATCCAGTTGATTCAAACTACATTATGTGCACCATTGTTGTTCACCTTGCAGTGTGTATAAAGCCAATTACCTTTTCTGAGATTCAACACCCTTCACCACAGAAGAGTTTTGATTATCACTGGTACATGCTTTTTCCTCAGCATTCCAAGAACAAGATTCAGAAGTAGCTGAAGCATCCTGCTCAGTATCAGCAAGTCTTGATTCATTAACACCTGATAAAGTCCTCTTTTCTGGATCCTTTCTTGACCTATAAATAGTACATGTCATTGATAACCAATATGAGACGATCACAACAATGCAAAGATGAGAAAATAAGGAAGGGCACATAATTGAAAACGCATTTGTTAATCTATTGAACACATTGCCTGTGGAATACCCTTCCCCTGCTAAAGTGAATGGCTAATGCATAAGATGAAGCATGAAGCAAGAACCAACCTCCATATGTTCTGAGAAATTTCTGTTTCTGGATCCTCACGACTTTTCCAGTTCTCCTTCAACTTCTGTAAATGTCCTATAATTCTGCCACAAGCAGCAAAAAATTGTAGCAGCCAAATAATTAAGGTGAAAAGCACCAAGTCAAACAACATCATGGCATTAAACGGATGGGTTAGATGATGTCACACATACTCATCATGATACTTGTGTAATTCTGAGTAGTATGCTTTCTTATCAGCCTTTAAACACTGTTCATGACTAATAACTGCATCAGGGTGAAGATGACCTGAACAAAGTGATGCGCTCCTGCAAACATGTTTTCCACTCTAATTACAGGCTCAAAAAATCAAAATTGGGATTGGCATCCAAACGAATAGAAAGGTAAACAATCTTCAAGGAAGGGCTTATTTATTTATTTATTTTATATATATTCATTATTCAATCAGCTTATATATGCCACCATCTTGAGTTCATTTATTTTTTGGAGTCAACAAGAAAAAGATCATAAGTAGGGAAGTTCATAAAAGACAAGCGTTGATGGGATAATGCAAGTGTAACATGCAAACATGTAAATCAAAGAAACTGCAGTACAAATACTTACCATTGAAGAAAAGGATTTCCAAAGTGGAAATTTTCACCAGCAAGCAATGTCTGCAGAATCTGTTCTCTATCTGTCCCTTTAGGAAGAAACTGCGTGAGATGATTTCTCTCCTTTTCAGACAGTTGAGTCTTCCACGCCTGTTAAAAAGTTTCAATGTAAATCATATATTTAGCATAAAAAGGGCACTTCCACCAAATAGCCACATCCAAAAAAACCACATATATATTTACCTCATAAGAAATAACTTGTGTTAAATCCTCCAACTCAAAAATTTCACGAGGAAGGGTGAAAACATCTGCCAAAACACTGTGGTAATGTGGTGCAGAATCAATGAAAGGCCTCAAATGCCTGCAACTTATGCCGACTTGTTCCTTTTTAGCCACAACCTTTTTATGGTTTCCATCCCACTCAAGAGAAATATGAGACTTGGCAATTAAGTCATTTTGCGAAGATTTCAATTTCTTCTTTTTAATTTTATGTTGATCAGAAGAAGTGCAGGCAGCAATGGTGGCACCATTAAGCAGTTTTCTCCGTTGATCAGCCGCCATTGACACAAGACAGTCAAAATAAGCTAGAGAGAAACACCAGCTGAGTGCATGTAACAAACATCTTCCTCCGCAGGCAACCTGAAACCAAATATTGTATCAGAAACCAAATCACAAGCACAGACAAAAGCTAGAAGCCTAAGTGAAAAATAGTACATAAAATAGTTGTATCCGTCAACTAAGAAGTAAAGAACCAAGAGTGAATGGGATTTCCAAGAATTCAGATGAACTGTATCACCCCTCTAAGCCTCAACCAGCAAGTATCTTAAGAGGTAGAAAAAGAAGAAGATGTGAATAAATAATTCTATTTAAAAACCAAAAAAAAAAAAAAAGAAAAAGGAAAAAAAGAAGCAAATAAAATAAGCCAACAAAGTAAGCAATTAGTTGGTCAAAATTGAAGCCAAAATTCAATAATCAATGCATGTGACAGATAACACCATATGAGAACAGCGAGCACGGTAAAGAGTTTGATCAAATTGAAAAGAGGCACACACCCACCCACCCATAAAGGCCTCTAGTCTAGCATCAATAATAATAAATATAATATATATTATAGCATACCCCAAATTAAAAACAAAAACTGAGCATTGAATCCATAGCCCCCCTAAATTTTATAATTTAGGGGACATAATTATTAGAATGATGGAAAAGTAATCAAAGAAAACGCAATAAAAATACCTCCTTTCGAAATCAAATTCGACAAAACAAAAAAACCCTAGAAAAATCGAAGCCGGAAATTCAATACCTGTGAAGAAAAATCACTCCCGGAATCCGCAGTTAAAAAAAGCAGGAGGCTTTACAGGAAACAAGAGTGGTGTTGTGTTGTGTGGTGCGGTGCAAGGTGAGAGGGGGAAGAAGAGAGGTTGGTGTTATGGGAAAAAAGGAGGGTTTGGTTGGATAAAAAGATTAGGCGACGGCGAATGAGAAAGGAAATATCCGTTGGCGCGCATAGACGCGGCTTGGTTTCCAGCCGCTCATTACTTTGGCTGCCCCCCTTACCCTAATTTTATTTGACATTTTGACTTGACTCATCATAACCACATTAATTTTGTTATTTTTTTCTTTTTTGTGGTATTGGAATTTTGCCTGGGGATTGTATTTACAATTATACCATTTTTTTGATTTAATAAAAAAAAAAAAATCTATGTATAGGCTCTGGCAGTCAATCTGGCTCGGCTAGTTTCGTGGATGGTGGGACATATGACGGTAAATGCAAAGATTAGACGCCGTAGACTTCTGGGTCTTTGTTATTAAATTATAAATAATTATAAAAGTAAATATCCTTTTCAATCTGAGTGGAGTGGAGGAATAGGATAATGGTATGGCTACCAAGACATTGTTATCACCACATCCCTTCTCTCTGCCTTCCAAATTCAGCTCTCACCACCACCACCGCCACCACCACCACCCCCACCACCAGCAGCAGCCATGGCTAGCTCCCCGTCCAAGTCCAATCCACATGATGAGACTGGGACTGTCTCCTCGACTATCCCTCCAAGATGTTGTAGAATTAGAACCCATGTATGTCTCTTCTACCCACCAAAACTTGGCTAATTCTTTGTTTTTGGTAGCAGAGAGTAGTGGGGGGTATTCCCTGGCTAGCTACTACACTTCCCTTGGCCTCTTTGTCATTTCCGTTCCTGGCCTTTGGTCCCTTATAAAACGCTCTGTTAAATCCAAGGTACTTATCTCCTTATTTTAATTATTATTTTCTTAATTAATTTGCCTTTTTCAGTTTGGATTTTGATATTTCATTTACTCTCTTTTTTATGTTTCAGATAATTCAGAAGACATTCATAGGGGAAGGAGAAAAAAATAAGGCACCGAATCAGGTTGCAGGTGAAATCTTATCATTCTTCACTCGCAACAATTTCGTAGTTACTGATAGAGGAGACACAATCACGTAAGCTCTCTATATATATATGTTTATCAATCCAATTCATCTTCTTTTCTAATAAGATTAAGATATTTATAGTACGTACAATTTAACAAGTGTTTTCCTCTTCCCCAAGGTTTGAGGGAATGATGGTTCCAAGCCGCGGCCAAGCTGCATTGCTCACTTTCTGCACCTGCATCAGCCTTGCCAGCGTTGCCCTTGTGCTCACCATAACACTCCCAGATGTTGGCAATAACTGGTTCTGGCTCACCATTCTGAGTCCCTTGGCGTAATTAAATTAACCCACATGATTCACTTGTTTTTGGTTCACACTCATAATATTTGTTTTCTTTCCAAGTCCTAACAAACAATAACAATGGATCCAAATTGCAGAGGAGCATACTATTGGAAAAGAGCATCAAGAAAGGAGCAGATCAAGGTTAAGCTGTTGGTTGCGGATGATGGAACCCTGTCTGAGATCATTGTTCAGGGAGATGACCAGCAAGTAGATGAAATGAGAAAAGAACTCAAGCTCAGCGAGAAGGGAATGGTCTATGTCAAGGGCCTCTTTGAGAGATGAGAAGGCTATATATGTCTCTACTTCTAAGTCTAGTCTAGTTCCGTACCAACAGGATGTATGAGATCATATTCCCTGTGAATTAAATTCACAATTCTCAGTAAATTTTGAGAGACTTGCATGCATGCAAAGCAACTTTCTATATTGTTCGTTCCAGTCATATTGTATATAGTTTTTTTGAATTTTCAAGTGTCCTAAAAGAATGTCATGCAAAACAGAAAAGGAGAGCACAACCAAATGAAATTACAGTTTGGTAAATCTAATTCAAATAATTAAGTAGCAGCTATTCGAAACTAACAAGTCTCAGGAGTACGTATCATTGCTCAGCAAAAACATGGCAACTTATTCTGAATTCATAACAACACCAACTGGCAGCAGGTACAGTCTTCCAGTTATAGAAACATCCCCGAAAGGTAAGGGCAGCAGAGCAAAAATCTGCAACAAGTCTTTGGCATTATCTAATAAGATTAAATAATTTTGCCATTTGTGGGCATAACATCACAGCTCTCAACCAATCATTAACTTGTTTTCGTCCATGAAGGTGTAAGTTGGGACCTCCAGGTTATATGGTGCTGGCCCCTTACGGATCCTGCCAGAGATATCATAATGGGAACCGTGGCATGGGCAGAACCATCCACCAAAATCACCAGCATTTGGCAAGGGAATGCAACCCAGATGTGTGCAAACTCCAATCACAATTAACCATTCCGGGTTCTTAACCCTATCTGAATCCGGCTGTGGATCACGAAGAGATGTCATGTCAACTCTGTTTGCTAGCTTGATATCCTCTTCAGTTCGGCGCCGGATGAAGACTGGCTTTCCACGCCATTTGACAGTCACAGTGGAACCTGGCTCAATGCTGGAGAGATCAACCTCAATAGAGGCTAGAGCAAGAACATCCTTACTGGCTGACATGCTCAGCACAAACTTAAGGATAAGGAGACGGATCACAGAAGCATACACAAATCTCCCACCTGTCAGGACAAAGTAGGCAAAAGCCCTCTTGCTCGGATCACCTGGAGGGAAACGCTCATGGTTGTGCTCATCATAAACTATCTTAGAAGTAGGGTTCTTAACAGCTGCCACTGTTGGTGGAATATTAGTAGTTATGCCTTGTTCACTTTTTGGGGTGAGTGAATCAGAAGCAAACCCTGAAACAAATGTCGAGTCATTTCTTTTAATTTGTCCTAACTCAGACGCTAAATAATAGACTGGAACTATAGAAGAAGCAGATGCTAAACTTCTAGCCATATAAAAAGATTACTGATACTCTTGATAGTAAAAGACAAGAACTTTTTAGTTCTCAAAAGGACAACTGAATATTGAATGCCTTAGATTCACAGCATTTTCTTCACTCATTGGTGGTTTACAAGTTTTTTTTTTTTTTTTGGAAATGTACAGTAGGAATTAGGATAATATACCATAAATTTTACAGTCATTTAGCATCTAAGAAGATACCAAGGTTTACAATACTACCACTGAAATATTGATTTCAATTTTCAAGAGGCAGTCACGCAATAAGAAATTCTCAAAAGTATGTATGACCAGTAACTTAAAGATTACCAACTCAATTAGTAGTAACAATAATAAATTATTGTGACCAAGACGATTACATTTAAAGTGAACAATGAAGCATGGAATCCAACAAATATTAATATTATTGACAAAAAAGATTATTAACTCAAGCAGTCAGTCGTGAGCTTAATTGATTCAAATGCAATAAATAATCCAAGTTAAAACTAGTATGATACCAATAAAAGGCATCACCTTTACATGTGGGAAGACGCCAAGAACCAGAATTGATATCAACAAAAGCTAATAAATTTATAATTGAGAAATACAGAAACCCTAACCTCTGGAAGGGAGATGAAAGTGAGGAGCAAATAAGGAGGAGGCGATGGATCTGTAATCATCGGGATGGGAATATGAATCGTGGCGGTTGATTAGGTTGGGAGACCCGACGGCCTGGTGGTGCCTCCAGGATGAGGTGAGCGCACACAGCCTCCTAGCCGATACCCGAAGCATTTTGAATTCTGGTGGAATCAGAGAAATCAAGCCTTCTAAGTCTCTTGGAACTCAGGCTGATTGCTTCTGTTCCGGTGAAAAGGCGATGGATTGGAATCGCGAAATATTAGGAAGCGGAGTGGATATGATACAAAGGTGAAAGGAAAGGGCAGACCTTTTTTCTCCGATTCCACCTACACCGATGACCCGGAATTCGTGATGGAGAGAGAAACAGGAGAAAGAAATGGCCTGTGGACGTGATCATGCCAGCATTTTCAGGGATTGTTTCTGATTGGTAAAAATACTATTCTGTCCCTATACTTTAATAAAAGATTTCATTTAGTCCCTTTGCTTAAGAAAATTCTTTTTTAATCCTTAAAGTTAAAATCCGACCTTATTTTAGTTTCCTTCGTTATATTTGGACACATGATAAGTTAGAAAATGAAAATTTCAAGGGAGAGAATCCATAAAAAGATTTTTAGCATTTTTTTCCTTTTATTTCTAAAAAATTCACTTTTTAGTCTTCTACTTAAAAAAATTTCTTTTTAATCCTTTTATTTTAAATTTTCTATTAAATTAATGTGCCATGCAAAAAATAAAAAAAATAAAAAGACCCAAATCTTAAATTTGAAAGACCTAAAATAATTTTTTAAAGTAAATAAACTAAATTTTTTTTTATTAAAATAAAAAGGAAAATGATTTTTGAACAATTTTTTTCTATGATCTATACATGTTATTTAAATGATTATTTCTTTTAATTCATATATAACTTATGATATTCAATACATTCATTCATCTAATAATATATGAAAGTTATATCAAAAAATGAAAAATAAAATTATTCCTATAACACCACTTAGATAAAAAATCTAAAAAAAGATCTTAACTTTTTTTTTTTTGACACGTAGTAACACTACGGGATAAAATATAGTTTTTCTTTTTCTTTTCCTTTTAGTTTTGTAGTCCAAATAATAGGCAAAAACCCATCTTTAGCCCCTCATCTTACTAAGTTTGAAGGTTTTAATTATTCACCTTATACTATGACATTTTTAACCTCTCATTTTATTAGATTTATAGATTTTAACCCCTCACCTATTAAAATTGAAGAAAATAGCCTTCAATTTAGACTAACTATTAATTATATTAGCTGACAATAGATTTTTATCAACTAACAGTCAACTAATAGTCAATTAATAAAATTAACGAAATATTATAAAATTAGTTCTGTTAGCTTTTTTAACTGAAAAAAAAGTTTTTAACAACTAACAGTCAACTAATAGTTAGCTAATATAGTTAACAATCACCTAATAAAACTAACAAAATGTTACAAAGTGAGGGCTATTTTCTTCTATTTTAATAGATAAGTGGCTAAAAGTGTACTAATATAAAGTGAGAGACTAAAACCTTCAAATTTAATAAGATGAGGGGCTAAAAATAGAGTTTTACCCCAAACAATGGGACGAGACGATGACTGTGCTGAAATATTTGGGCCTC